GGTAATACGTTGACGATAAACGTGTTTAATAAATAAATTTTCAAGACTTTTTATGCACCAGAGACAAAATTTCAATATTCATTTGTTGAATAACAAGGGGAAAAATGATGTTGTTGTTGCTTAACTTACTTTCGTCACTGAGTTAAAAGAGCATCTACTCAATAATGTTAAGCATTCTCATATCATAATAAATGCAAGTTACTGTTTGACAAGACAATGAATAGAAGAATAATGCCCATTGCATAGTACATATGCTAGAATAAATAGCCGGGTACACCAGTTCAAGTTAGTCGGGTACACCAGCCTGGTCTGGAAGCCCAGATGTTGGTCCACACATTTTTTGGTTTCGTAAGTCTTTCTAGAGCCATGCCATCATACAGTATGACTTGGGGAGGGGGTAATTGGGTTGGTATGGGATGCAGATAGGACCGAGTACGCTAAGGACATTGCGTAGTTGGTTGAAAGCAATCAATGTGTCATTTGGGTCAAACAATGACCTTAACTTCACCAAACTGACTTAGTCATACCCATTTGGACCTAAGTATGAGGTTTGTTCATTCTAAACTACGCAAGCTTTCATTCGGACTATATATAGTGGCAAAACATCAATGATGCAAAAATATAAATATCAAATACTTATTTCATTAAAAAGAAAGACTTGTGGAATACACTTCCAAGTACAAAATAAGTCCTACATACATGAAGCAAAATACATCCAAAGCCCCAATAAATACTAAGGCCGGCAAAATGGGCTGAGCCCGCCGGGCTGGCCCGCCCCGCCTGCCAAATGGGGCGGGCTGGGTTGAGTCTTTCAACCCACCAGCCCGCTAAACCCGCCCCGCCAAACCCACCAGCCCATATGGGTCAGCCCGCCAAGTCATTTTTTTTAGGTTACCCAATTGTTATGTAGCTCCGTATCTTAGATTTCTCTGCTTGCAAGTGGCTTTTTTGAATTGTTGTGGACTGCTCATACAACACTTTGTTACTTGTTTTGTTATTCTATTTTATCCTGATATGATTTTATTTTTTTATTATTATTTTTGGATTGAAAGATGCATATTTATATGCAGATTATTAAACACTGATCTTCTTGGTTTCATAAGCACATTAGGATTTTATACAGATTTTTGTATGCTTTTATGCAGATTTTTTTATGTGATTTTATGCAGAATTTAATTTTTTGTATTTTATTTTTATATTTTTTTTATTTTAGGCGGGCTGGCCCGTAGCCCGCCAGCCCACTCATAAAACGGGCCGGGGCGGGCCAACCCATTTTGGGCGGGCTAGTGGCGGGGCGGGGCGGGCTGGCCCATATTGCCAGCCCTAAAATACATGCAAAAAGGGTTGAATACATCCAAAAAGCAACTCAATACATCCAAGGTAGGGCTAAATACATCCAAAGCCCCACTAAATACATCAGAAAATGGCCTGAATACCTAAAAAAATACCTAATGGCTAGAATCTAACTGTGTCTCCTTCCCGTCCTCATCCTCCCTGTCGTCATCCTCTTCCTCATCACCAGACTCATCAGCAGCAATAGGCTCCTCCACATTGCGAGCACCTTGTCTGTAGCCAGCCTCCAAGCGTGTCACCCTGTTGTCCATCTGAGTCCGCCATTTGCCTGTGCTCTATCTAAAGCCCCTAAACTCACTGGTCAAGGCCACATGTCAAGTTATACATGGATGCCATGACATGATCAACTGTCCACCCACCCTCAGGAGCTGTCCATCCACCCTCAAGAGATTGAGGAGGTAATGGTCATCGGATGCGGGTGGGACATGCAGGTCCCTCATTAGCTGCAGCAGTATCATCATCATCATCATCAAGGCCTGCATCCACATTAAGAATATTAAATATTAAAATTTCGTTAGGTTACAAATACACCTTCAATATTAAAGATCACAAACATCACCTGCAGGTGGTTCAGGTGTCTTCCTCTAGTACCACCCACCCAAGCGGCTTTGCATAATCCCACACTGCTTCAGTAGATGCTCACCAAATATGGTATTCCACCGCGTGGTTGTCTTAAACGTCTCAGTTTCCATAGGCACATCAAAATGTTTTGCACCAGGAATGCAAAAGGCAATTCAGCCTTCCTAAACTTGGAAGCCGTCCACATAAGGATGTATATGTAGTGCCTCAATTTCACCTTAATATGGTTAAGGAGGGCCCACAAAACCACAAAATCACCTTCCAGCACCTTCGAGTGATTATGACCGCATTGGAAAACAATATGTGTCACAACATAATGTAGTATGCGGGCAGACACCGATAAATTGCTCAAGGATAATGAGCAAGATGTCCAGCCTTTGCATCAGCTCTCTTGGTCTCCGCAACAATGGCCTCCCGATCATAACCACCAAATATATGATGGGAGTCTCCGTCATACAAGGCTGCATATGGTATATCATCAAAGTCAAACCCGAGGAGCTCTGTCCAGATAGGAGCGGTAAGGATAATATCAATCTCGTAGACGCGGGAAGTAAGCTCGCCATGCAGGTAGTTGATGTTATAGTAGAAAACCCTCACCATAACCTCCGAATACAGACACTTCATCTTCGCAAGCACCAAGTGATGTGTCTGCTGAAGAAGTGGCACAATGTCAAACCGCTCCAAGTTGAAGAACGTCGAATCCAGTGATTTCAGGTCACATAATTTGCGGCTCATGAAGGACTTCACAATCCTCTAGTGTGCATCAGTGTCATCTTCAAATAAATATCCAAAAGGCAAGTCTGGAGCCTGATGAACAACAGCCTGTGGCTGAATGGATGATGACCCATCATGTTGGTGCTTGGTCCTCCTCTCGGTATCCACCCATCTCTGCTTCGAAATGCGTCTGTCAGTCATTTTGTCACAATGTGAAACTGAAAAAACACAAATGCATCCATATTAACACCAATCGCAAAATAATTAACACTTAAAGATCAGACATCAAGCGTGGACACACAAAATTAAAATCAATTTCAAGAATCAAAAATTAAATTAGTAAACAGTCCAATCACTGTCAAAATGCAAAATGTAATCAACAATTAAACAATATTTGTGCACTTGAAAGGTACCCACAAATGAAAATAAGAAAGCAAGGTTAGGGTTTATCAAAAATTAAAAAGTAAAAAAAGGTATCTTTCTTGGTTTTCAATCGGTCGAAGGCAGAAATAATGGTGCACGAAGGATGATCGTGAAAGAAGAAGATTGTCCAACCAATGTGGCGAAGGAATCACCCAATTCGCCCTTCTAAAAGCTCTACCCGGGTAACCCTTTTGTGGGTTTTGAAATGAGAGCTGCTGGACTTTTAAAAAACCCTACCCACGACATTTATCTGGTAGTCTGCTCCCTACTCGGGTAAATAATTCATATCAATTCCCAGATTATGAAAAATACCCGAGTAACCAATCTGGATGCTTGGGTTGTGTTATTTTTTTGACTTATACCTAGGTAATCCCTTATGTACCGAGATATTTTATATTGTCAACAGTAAAACAGAGACATACAAGTATTATATTTTGATAAAAGGGCAAAAATATAATTAATTATTAATTAAAAGTTACACTGGTCAAAAAACCAACAACATAAGTTAAAGTGATGATGTGTATTAACTGCTGCCGTGGCATCTTTAGACTTGAGCTGATTGAGCCCTTTGGGCTTAAGTTGAATGGGTTCTGTCAAATGCAGCGTTGTATTTGTTTTAACTTTTTTTTATCTTCTAGTTTAACAAAATAGTGATGCTAGTGTTAATTTTTTCTTCCTCCCCATTGTTGTGCAACCGTTGGTTCAAATTCTGCAAATGTGATTTGTTGAGTTCAAAAGATGTTAGTCTCCCCCGTGTTTAACTAAAATAAAATAAACATTCTAGAAAAGGTTTGTTATTTCTCGTATTATAAAAGATAATTTTATCTTTTATATATAATAAGAGAACATGAGATTAATATTTTTTTTTCTCTTCTCTTTATATGGATCTACATAAATTCTACACAATTTTATGTGTATATAAAAAAGAATTTTATCCCCTATAATATAAGAAATATTAAATCTGTATACAAAATGTACCATTAAACTGTATTATAACTTTCATGATATTTATACCCAATTGTTTGCATATTTACCAAAGTCAATTGACACTTAATGTCTTCGCAATTTACTAGACATTACAAAAACATGAATGTGACGTGTGATTATTGTAATGGTTCGCGGTACAAATCAGAAACATCCACGAGTATTTCCCTCTTGCCTTCAAATTTCAAAATCAAAACGCTCACCAAGACATCATCCCAGCATTAGCAACTTGCAAGCATCGATACTACTAAAAAAAAAAACTAGCAAGCACTGTCGACGCAGAAAGGGACACCAACCACATAAAAGTAATTTCAAATTGAAGAAGACTATTGTGAACAATATAGTAAAAAAAATATAAATATTATTTTTTTATCATGTCAAATCTTACTATTAATTTTTTAAAAGTAATGTTAAATAAGTCTTTAAAAGAAAAAAAAATGTGATATGATTTTTTTTTTAAACAATATGATTTTTTTACTTTATTATTAACATGCAATAAGTGTTTTATGAATTTTATATTAACAAGTTTAACCATCTTGAAATTTAGGTCAGATATTAAACTGTGATAAAACAATACATTTAGTAAATTACAAGTGGAAAAGTTTACACATAATACATCAAAGTTATTTCTTTTATGTTTCTCGAAAATATTTTTCTCCAATACACGTATAAAAATATGTGAGACTCATATTAAAAAAATAGGAAGAAAAAAAAAATGATCTTACATACTTTTATGTGTATATAGGAGATAAATTTATATCTTATAATATCAGAAATATTGAAACTTTTTTTTTATTCTCTATAAATTCAACATTTTATTGAAAAATAAATAAATTGAATCATGAGACTTAAAACCTAAAAAACGACGTCGTTGGCAGGAGGCACTGTCTTCCTTCACTTTTGCACACAAAAAGTACGAAATTCTCATTTCTCATTTCCTCAGATATAGAGCAAACCCAGAGGAAAACATCCCAAGAAAGCAGCTTCCAAGATCCGATCAGATCCATTCAACCCTCCCCCTCTCTTTCTCTCTCTAAAACTATCTCCCTTCATTTTCTCTCTCTTCCACTGTTTCCACCCCAACTCTCTCGAAAAACCGATCAATTTCTCCTCAACTCCGTCTCCGAAATCGGTTTCGCTCTCGCCGGTTAGGGTTTCTTGAATTTCTCGTCCAAATGTGCCGGATCGAGACCCAGGGCTCATAAGGTTTCCTTGTCTTCAAACTCTAAGTGCATGAAGCTTTGGTGCTGTCTATGCTTCAACGAAGAAGAAGAAGAAAAAGAAGAAGAGAAAGAAGAAGAAGAGGTGGTGGTGATAGAGGAAGAGCGCAATCTCCTGGAGTCTATGGAGGAGGAGGACATTTTCGGAAACGACGTCGTCGTTTCCCCTGTGCCTGACGACGATGATGTTGATGTCGAAAATGACGCGCGTCCTGCGGCGGTTGCCGGTGCCGTCGAGCATGACGAGCAATTCAGGTTGTTTGACGAGATGGTGAAGGTTATGCCTGTGCGCGTGGATGCGTTCAGTTCGCGGTCTGGCACGCGGAGGTCGGAGGGAGAGAGTAGCTCCGGCGGTTCAGATGCCGTTGTCGCCGCCGGTTTGGAGAGTGCCGCCGCCGAGGAGAGTATCGATTTGAGCCACAAGCGGGCCAAGTTTTACACTGATTTTGAGTGAGTTTTTCTAGCTCGTGAACTTTGATTTTGTTTTTCTTCTTTTGCAAAGTGTGTGTGTAGTAGTGTCATAGGCGCATGTGTAATGTTATCTAGAGGCACTACAGTTCAGTGCATTGTTCGGAGATATTCAATTGATGTTCACTTCTGAAATGGAAACTGGCAAATGTTACAGCGTCGTGATGTATCTTACAGTGATGATTGATTGTGTTTTGCAGTGAGTGTCACTTTGCAACTCCAACATCTTCGAATACTGGGAAATGCAGCGCATCTGCTGACTACGGAGATTATGATTATATTCAAAGCTCGTCCCTTCGACCTAACAATGAGACGTTTTATGATGCTTTTACATTGATGTGTACTGGTGAGGAGAATAACTTCGATTCTTCTAGCTTTGTGAAAGACAGTGAAGGATATGATAGTGACATCTCAAAAGTAGAAGATATAGAGGTCAGGATGGATCTCACGGATGACTTGTTGCATATGGTAAGCTGCAGGAAAAGAATCAGTCTTGTGCTCTTTCTTTCTCTTTTGAATAAATCTTGCTTTTTCTAGTACCTTGGCAATGGTTTTTAAAGTCTGCGTTTTTTTCGTGATGTTTTATTTCTTACGTACTCTTTCCCAAACTATGAAATTTAGGTTTTTTCATTTTTGGATCACCCCAATCTCTGCAAAGCTGCCAGAGTTTGTAAGCAGTGGCGAGCTGCTAGTGCTCATGAAGATTTCTGGAAGAGTTTGAATTTTGAAGATCGGAACATCTCTGTAGAGCAATGTGAGCCTGAATATATTTGTTGTAATAAGCTGTTATTTATGAAAAAATTTAGTTTTATGTTGAGAACAACTTTTTAAAATTCAACTAAATGTGCTTTATGACACTAGTAGAACTCCTGCTTCTGTAAAACCTTTGTATTTAAATGTGCTTATTTAAAGCTCTATACGTATTTCCAGTTGAGGACATGTGTAGGCGTTATCCTAATGCCACAGCAATGAGCATATCCGGTCCTTCTATTTACTTACTTGTCATGAAGGCTATCTCTTCATTAAGGTAGGTATTATCTGCAGTATTGCTGTCAATGAAGTTATCTTGGATGCCAGCTGATTTTTTATCATCATTTTCAGGAATCTTGAGGTTTTAACATTAGGAAAAGGACAGATAGCGGATACTTTTTTTCATGCTTTAGCTGATTGTTATATGTTGAAAAGATTGAATATCAATGATTCTACACTTGGCAATGGCATTCAGGAGATATCTATTAATCATGATAGGTTGTGTCATCTTCAATTGACAAAATGCCGTGTCATGCGAATAGCGGTCAGGTGAATAAGCTGTGACGTTTAACTGACGTTTAGCTGTCACTTTTCTAATGAAATAAAATGTGATCATTTATTCTTTTTCAGGTGCCCACAACTTGAAACTATGTCATTGAAGCGCAGCAACATGGCACAGGTTGTGCTTAATTGCCCACTTTTGCATGAGCTTGATATTGGCTCTTGCCACAAACTTCCTGATGCTGCTATTCGTGCCGCTGCAACTTCATGCCCTCAACTAGTGTCTCTGGACATGTCTAATTGTTCATGTGTCAGTGACGAAACTCTGCGTGAAATAGCATCGAGTTGTGCTAACCTGAGTTTTCTTGATGCATCATACTGCCCAAACATCTCTTTGGAGGTATTCTTTAGAGTCTATAATCACTTTTTGCTTATATAGATTCAATATGAGCATCTGACTTTGTTTGACATGGTTTCTTGCATTTTTTCTCTTTTAAGTCTGTTAGACTGCCAATGTTGACAGTTCTAAAGCTTCATAGTTGTGAGGGCATCACTTCCGCCTCAATGGCTGCAATAGCTCATAGTTATATGTTGGAGGTATGGAATTCTTACTAGATATTGATATTAATGACGTGTTTGAATTCCTGAGTATAGACTTCTGGGTTAAGTAAATGATGTCACTGCTGCTGCAGGTTTTGGAGCTTGACAATTGCAGTCTATTGACTTCAGTGTCTTTGGATCTTCCACGTTTGCAAAATATTAGATTGGTACACTGTCGCAAGTATGATTCTGCTTCATTTTTCTTCCTCCTCAGAAAGTATTGTAATTATATTGTTCATCTTTCTCTTTCGGTACTGTCTTCTCTAATTTATTTTTTGAATTGTTTCCATGGTAGATTTGCTGATTTGAACTTGAGGACCATTATGCTTTCTTCGATACTGGTGTCTAACTGTCCTGCACTCCACCGTATCAACATCACATCAAATGCACTTCAAGTATGTCTTGTAATTATGTCTCTGATTGTTTTCCCCATGCTCGTGTGTACTATAGTAATCGAAAGGATGGCCTTTGTGGTGATGCAGAAATTAGCTTTACAAAAGCAGGATAGCTTAACTACATTATCCCTGCAATGCCAATCTTTACAAGAAGTGGACCTCTCCGAGTGTGAATCTTTGACAAACTCTATTTGTGATGTTTTTAGTGATGGTGGAGGATGTCCTATGTTGAAATCACTAGTCCTTGACAATTGCGAGGTACTTGAATAAGTCCCTTTTTTTGGGCATTTGATGGATTTACTTTCCCAAATTTGTTTATCCATGATGTATGCTAGTAGTGTATGCTGGCAAATCACATGGGTTTTTCACTACATGGTGATGCTGTTTACCTGGTTTTACTTGTTTTTCTTGTCAACTTATCTAGCAGTTTTGTGGAGTTATTTCTATATTGTTGTTAATTGATTTTTCATTTGTGACATTGATCACTTCTAACAAGTTTTCAAAAGGGTATTTTTGGTATCTGCACATAAATAAGAGTCAGTGTAGTTGACATGATAGGGTTTTTACAAAGATTGCTGTAAAAATTACATGAAATATTAGTTGTCACAATATCAGCATTTCAATGAATCAATTTGACACTATTTACTCCACCATGGATCTGTTAGCTGGTGCTGAAAAATACTTACGATGGATCATCTCTCAATTTTTCTGGTGCTTATACTTGTGAGGGATTAGGTTCCTTTGATTTCCTGCTGTCTTATTTCTGATTTTGTTGGTGAAATGTTCTGGACTTGATGTTCTGCTTTTTCTTGTAAATAGTTTTCGTAACACTATTTACTCAACTTCATGTTTTATGGAATTTAGAGCTTGACATCAGTTTGGTTCATCAGCGCCTCTTTAGCCAGTCTTTCCCTTGGAGGTTGTCGGCATGTTATGACTCTGGAGCTCGCATGTCCTAATCTTGAGAAAGTCATTTTAGATGGTTGTGAACATTTGGAAAGAGCATCATTTTGTCCTGTAAGTGGTTTTGATTTATCAGGTGCTTTATAATTAAAGCTAAAATGGGGAGTTTTTTTTTTTTTTTAACATATAATTAAAGCTAAAATGATGCCTTTTTTGGAAGCCATGATTTCTGGCTCATGTAAAAAGCCAAGATACTACTTTGTTTTAAAAAGTGCTTTTTAGATACTCATCTGGATGTAAAATAGCTCTAGCTTTTTGGAAAAAGTCCTTCTAGAAAAAGTAGTGCATGATAAGTCTTTTTTTTTATGCTCATCTAAATGGACGCTTAAAGCTATTAAATTTTAGTATAATTTCTGCTTGTGGATTTTGCTGTCCTCATAGATTAAGAACAAATTTATACATTGGCAGTCAAAGGGTTGCTTTAGGGTTAAGGCTTGGGCCTAGACATACATAATAAACTCAAGTATTTGAGTTTTTAGTGGTATGGTGTACATTAGCTAAGAGCATTCTTTTTTTCACCTGCTTCTCAGGTTGGTCTTCGGTCTCTCAATTTAGGAATATGTCCAAAATTGAACACACTCAACATTGATGCATCGCTTATGGTCTCACTTGAGTTGAAAGGATGTGGAGTTCTATCTGAAGCATACCTTAATTGTCCACTCTTGACATCTCTGGATGCTTCCTTTTGCAGGTGTTGTTTCATTTAATATTTTCTTACACATTCTGCTTGTTCATGAACTGATGTGTATTGTTTTGACGTACAGCAAACTCACGGATGAATGCTTGTCTGCAACAACTGACTCATGCCCACTGATTGAGTCACTGATATTGATGTCATGCCCATCTATTGGTTTAGATGGACTTCGTTCTCTGTGTCAGCTTCTTAATTTGACCGTGCTTGATTTATCATACACTTTCTTGGTGAATTTGCAGCCTGTTTTTGAATCTTGTTCCCAGCTAAAGGTAATAGTTATTATATAATTTCACGTGCATATTTTTACTTGTGTGCCATGTTACATATAGCACAATAGTAGTATAATCCTCTTCTGCCATTTTCAGGAAAACTGTATCCAGTTTTAGTCTGTATATTTTGTTTTTAATAACAACACCTAACAAAATTGTGATATATATATATATATATATATATATATATATATATTTTATCAACTTACACCGGTATAAGTATAACAAGTCTTATACCAAATCTTAACCGTTGATTTTCGTGTAATTAATGTGATCCAATAAATCTTAACTGTTAGATGCACTGAAATCAACGGTTAAGATTTGATGTAAGACTTGTTATTCTTACACCAGTGTAAGAATAACCTGCCCCATATATATATATATATATATATTTATTGTCTTTCGTTTTTCCCCCTCTAATGTTTGTAATGATGAGTTGGGTTCATTAACCTCATTGTGAAATATAATTGTTTTTATTAACGCATTACAAAGTTGTGATATTAATTGGGTCCACTCTGAAATATAAAGTAATTGGTATTTGGGGACAATTCTTTGGCGCTGGCATATCTTGGAATGAGTGATTGTTTAATTTGTTGAAGTCTTCATTAATTATTATTTTGTTGTTTGTCTCGAGTTTGAAGATAATTCATTATATTTGGCTTTTCGTTGCTTCCTGCCTCCTAAACAGTGAAGATGCATAAAGTGACGGGAAAAGGAGGGGATGGGAAAGGGTGAGAGGAAAAAATGGGCTAAACTACTGAGATTTGTGTTATTTAAATAGTTCTATTATACAGTTGTTTCCTCAGCCTTTATTTCATGGGTATTGGAATGTTTTTTTTACCTCAGTATAATTATTCTCTTCACCTTTTTCTGATAGTGTCATTCTTGTTTCTTGAAGGTATTAAAGTTGCAGGCATGCAAATATCTTACCGACTCATCACTTGAGCCTCTTTACAAGGGGGGTGCTTTACCAGCACTTCAGGAGTTGGACTTGTCTTATGGAACTATCTGTCAATCTGCCATAGAGGAGCTTCTTTCTTGCTGCACGCACCTTACACATGTGAGCTTGAATGGCTGTGTGAATATGCATGATTTAAACTGGGGAGGCAGTCATGGGCAGATTGCTGAGTTGCCTGGTGTAAACGTCCTATCCATTGCAAGTTCCCATGAGAATGCCCATGAGTCAAGTGAGCAACCCACCCGATTACTTCAGAATCTCAATTGTGTGGGATGTCCAAATATTAGGAAGGTTTTCATTCCATCAACAGCACATTGTTCCCATCTATTGTGTTTGAACCTTTCTCTATCGGGTAATTTGAAGGAGGTTGATGTAGCTTGTCCCAACCTATGCTGGCTTAATTTAAGGTATGGGTGGCTCTCCAGTAAATGTGGGTTGGTTTTTGTCCTTGTAACAATTATGATAATGTTTTGACTTCTCTATTCAGCAACTGTTCCTCTTTGGAAGTTTTGAGGCTAGAGTGTCCGAGATTGACCAGTCTATTCCTTCAGGTTTTTATTCTTCTCTGCCAATTTAAATTTATTGATGCACCCATTGTATTCGATGGTTCTTATTGTCAAATCTTGTTATATTGATATGCTTTTTAATAAATTGAGGTGTATATTATTTCTTTTCTGCATGGCATTTATCATCTTGTGAAAATTTATTAAAATGTTGATTTGCTCCATTCTCTTGGTTTTGGTTGTCTTCTCCGTTTTAAGCTTCACATAATTATTTGACTGTATTGCATACTTTTTCCATGGAAATATGTTCAAATGTGGGGTTGACATTTGTCCTTTACCAATTTAAATTTATTGATGCACCCATTGTATTCGATGGTTCTTATTGTCAAATCTTGTTATATTGATATGCTTTTTAATAAATTGAGGTGTATATTATTTCTTTTCTGCATGGCATTTATCATCTTGTGAAAATTTATTAAAATGTTGATTTACTCCATTCTCTTGGTTTTGGTTGTCTTCTCCGTTTTAAGCTTCACATAATTATTTGACTGTATCGCATACTTTTTCCATGGAAATATGTTCATATGTGGGGTTGACATTTGTCCTTTACCTGAAGTACAGCATGTTTTAATGTGTGGTCTTCAGTGATATTGTCAATCGTAAAGTCAAATTCTTGCAATTCATCCGTCTGATTGTCAAACTTATCTGCTTTATTAACATTTTTTTTTTGGGGGTGGGGTGGGGGTGTAATTTGGGTTTTTTAAGTGTTGCAATATTGACGAAGAAGCTGTTGAAGCTGCTATATCAAAATGCACTGTGCTGGAGACTCTTGATGTACGCTTTTGTCCAAGGGTGAGAGCCAAGGCCTATTATATGTGGATTGGTGCCTTCTGTAATTTTAGCTAATGAACCTTCTCACACATGATGGAATGTCTTGATGCTTGACTGTATTTTTTATCATGTTCTTAAACTATTTATGGTTTACTTTATGGTGCTTTACAGATAAGCTCAATGAGCATGGGAAGATTACGTGCAGCATTTTCTAGTTTGAAGCGTATATTCAGCAGCCTGTCAACTTCATGAACTTTGCCAAGGATCTTTGAGTTTTCCAGTGCTTATTCACTTGGAGTGAGGGCATGCGTGGTAATAAATCTGGTTATTTCCTTATGTATTGTAAATGGTTAACTTTTTATTGTCCGTTTGTTTGGCATATAGAAATCAGGTTATCTTTATGTTTTGTCACAATAAATTATCTTTGTTCTATATGTTACTCTTGTAAATTTTACATTTCAATTTTGTTTATGCATACATTATTCTAAAGCAGTCTAACCTTGTTTGTTGTAAAAAATAGGTGTATCTAAAAAAAAGAAAAGGTGTATCTGGTTTGGTCTTTAGCGTAGTATGACCTTGCAATATACTGTAAATTTTTGTACTATGGGGATGACATTAATATTATACAATTTTCATTCGACATTTATATTAATTTGAAATTTTAATTTATGCATAAGATCAAATGAATACCGGGTGATTAATTGGGTAAAAAACTCAATGAAAACCCCATGAACCATACTGGCTTGCTGCTAATAATAGAATGAAGATACTAATTGTAGAATTTCCCTGTCTCTATCTTCAAAGCTCAGGGCTTAAGGAACCAGGAGTGGGCTTATAAATCTCTAGTGGGTGGGTACAACTTTCTAGTTGTGCCTAATCTTCATATGAACGAACTGATGAAGCTTAAGGAGAAGCCGAGAGAGGTTCGAATTTGGGAACTAGGGTTCAGGTTTGGTATTGAGTTTGGGTTTTGATGTGTTTTGTATATTATTTAAAGGGTTAGGTGTGTGTCTCTTTAAAGAATATAAAATGTTTTTTTAAGTGAGAAAGAAATATATAATAAAAATCATGTGGGAAGAAAGTGGGTAATTTTTTTTGTAAATTTTAATTTTAATTAAAAAACATTAATTTTAATTAAAATAATCATGTTTTAAAAGGATAAATATTTTTTCTTTATTTAAAACAAAAGCGGCAACAGCAGAGTCCGAAAGCTTTAGTGGGAATCAAGTCATTTTTAATTACGTCACTTGTGTAGTGACTTGCAATGGATATATCGTTGCAAGGGGTTTTTAGAACGAGCAACAATTTTTTTTTTTGTTATATAAGAATGACTTTTAGTAAAATGTGTTACGAATTATTATTAATTAATCTCTAGATTGATAGACATATAAGTGGTGTGAGATAAATTATTTTATGATGATAACACAATCAATCAGCAGAGAAATTTTAATCTTACATGTTGGCATGGCTGAGGTTAAAATATGTTTTGCAAGCTAAATATGAAACCAGAAATAGGAGAGGTGGGTGTGTTTTGTGAATTATAATGGAGATTTTGCTTTGTGGAGAAATATGTTCAGGATTTGGAGGGAGATGGAGGGGAGATTTAGATGGGAGGTTGGTGATGGGAAGAATATTTGTTTCTGGAATAATAATTGGCTTACGGTGGATAAACATTTACATGAGGTAGCTAGCAACACGAGTTCTAATTTTAATGCAGATTTACGTGTAGCTGATTTGGTTAAATTGAATGGTGAGTGGGATTTCGCTTCTCTTGTGCAATGGTTCCCTAGAAGTATCATAGACATATTTAGAGGGACTCTTTCACCTAATGCTGATGATGGGCCTGATATAAAGACTTGGGAGTTGGATGGTGAAACTACTATATCGGTGAAGGGTATTTACAAAGTTCTCTCAGTTCAGGATGTGAGTTTTGTTATTAATCCTAATAGGTGGATACAGATGTGGAAATGGAATGGACCCCAGAAGATGAAAAATTTTATGTGGAAAATTTTTCATGGGAATCTTCTAACCAGAAGCCGTACTGCACGTTGGGGTAATGGTATTGATATATGTTTTGTTTGTTTGAAAGAAAGAAAAACTTTGTTGCATGCTCTTCAAGATTGTCAAGAGGTGAAATCCATTTGGCTTCATTTTGTGCCTACTGATTGGTATCCTAATTTTTTTCTTGGTGATGATGACCAGTGGATAGAGTATAATATGGACATTGAGGCATCTGCTAGTCGTAGGGGTTGGTTGTCTATGTTTTTTGTTACATGCCGGAAGTTTTGGTGCTAGAGAAATGAGACTTTGCATGGTGCGATCTTTCCAATTGCGAGTGAGGGAGGGTGTAATTTGCAATTTAGTGAGAGATGTTAATGATGCTTGGAATCATGTAGCTGGTAAAATGCCAGCCAGGAGAACGATGATAACTGACATTGCTTGGCAATTCCCTATTGATGGAGTTGTGAAAATTAATATTGATGGAGTTGCTAGAGGTAATCCTGGCCTTGCTGCGTGTGGAGGATTGATTCGAAACTCTCAAGGGAGATGGTTGGGGGGTTTCTCCTACAAACTAGGTTTTTGTTCTTCTTTCAAGGCGGAACTTTGGGGTGTCCTCCGGGGTTTGGAATTGGCTTGAAATGAAGGACATCGCAATATCATCCTTGAAAGTGATTCATATAGTGTGATCACTGTGCCTTACCAAACATGGGGAAACAGTCCGTGAGAGTCATTTGATAGCTCATATATGGACATGGATTAATAAAGGATGGGCAGTGGCTTTCAAGCATACATATAGGGAAGGGAATGCTTGTGCAGACTGGATGACAAATTCTATTATGGATACTGATGATAATACTCTGTATCAAATCTGGTGGGATCCTCCACCTGGTATTCAATCTTTACTTCTTGGTGATTTAACTGCTGTCAGTAGGTCTAGGGCAATGGTATGTACGAACTAGTTCGTTTGTTTTTTCTGTTTCTTTTGGGCTGAGGCTTTTTGTTTATCAAAATAAAAATAAAATTGAGAGATGTATTTCCAAAACTGAAGCGTAGACTTGAGGGGGGAAATTTAGAAAGAGAAAGTGTTAAGAGGCCTAAATAGAAAGGGAGGGAAAGATAATACAGTGCTTCAGAAATTGATCAACAATGTGGAATTGAGTTTCACCATTGCCACTTTTAGATTCATAAAATAAATAGATAAATAAAATTGCGAAAGCTCTTGTTGATTCAGCCAACGCAAGATGAAGCTTCATTGGAAAGCAATTATATGTCTTAGCTTTAAAGACGTTCCAAGTCTACCAAATACCAAACATCTAGGTCCCATGTAGTCTCAATTGACTCCCCATATATTCTAGGGAAAACCTGATAATGGTTGCTGAAGGCTTCTCACTAAACAAAAGATAGAAAATGAAAACAAATACTTCATTCTTTATAGATATATGCCCTTACAAAATTCAATTTAAAGAAAATCTATATTTATTGAACTAAATTCAAGTTACTAAATTTCAAGATGCTCAAGATTCTATGCTTTCTTAAGATACAATTGAAAAGAAAAATACGATATATTTTTATAATAATAACACTGACAGTGAATAATATCTTTATTTTTACTTCTAACTAAAATATTCATGGTCTCAATAAAAAATTGAAATAATTTAAGGGATTAATGTTTCTCATATTGTAAAAAATAATTTTATCTCCTACATACATATAAAAATAAGAAGAAAAAAAAAGGCCTCACACTTTTATATTTGTATTGGAGATTAAATTATCTCCACTAATCCCATAATTTAATTACAAAACCAGCATAATTTAATATGACGTTTAAATGATTGTTCTTTACGAGTAAATATAAATCATGTATATTTCCACGTGAAGGGTACTTGAGTAATTGAATGCTGTAGTCAATAATAGAATACAAATACCTGGGTGGAATTCGAGGTTGACAAGACAAACCAGTGTTTCATTTCGATCTTAGCTTTCTGTCACTATGTTCTAACTAACAATGTTGAACACCATGTCCATGTGGTATCTTCTACTCTCCCTTCTCTTCCTTCATGCAACTGCTGGCACTCAAAGCAAGTCTTTTATGTACTAATAATTGGTTTTACTTTCAGATTTGGATGCATCTGTTAGTGTGTACTGTATGTTTCATCTGCGTCACAACAATCACTTAAAAGTTTAAAACATTAAGAAAGTCTTAATATTCTTTTGAAATGTTGATTCTGGTACTTCCAATTTCCAAATGTAACATTTTAAATGAAACACAATTTCTGCAATGCCAGCGTTTGAGTTTGAAGCCTTTTCTATCTATTACTTTTTCTTTCATTGGTTAGAACGCTTTTTGTACGTTTGATCCCTCAGGGGAAGTTCTCTCATGTAAGTTAAGTCTTTTCTTTTTGAATTGTCGAAGAAATTGATGGCAGGGATGAAATTCCACATTGGATCTTGGTCTTAGAGTATAATATAATGAGTTTTGAAGCTGATGTTGTTGGTTGTCTTCTGTGTTATATTAATTTTTTCTTCGTTAATTAAAGTGAGATCCAAGAAGAAATACCTGGTGTATCAGTTTTATAGATTTTGTAACTAATTTCTACACAAATAATTTCAATGACTACGCTGGCATTTTCCTCTCTCATTTCCCCCCTGATTTTCCATTCCTTTATTTTTCTTGGAGTAGGGAGGAGAATATTCGGTTTTGCCCACTCTGCTTGTTCTCTTCTTCTATTACATTTTGGATTTGTGTACATTCTCACATTGTCCAATCCAAGCAGTTGGCTGCATCTTCTGTGTGTAACGGCCACAACCCATTTTAGGCTTCCAGAGTTTCAGTTTAGGAGCTTATACAGTCACTTCTCCTAAATTGATTTTCACAAAGATGCTACTTTTCCTCTGTGGTAGGTGTTTATAGTTCTAGGAAAGAAATAGATGAACTGTTTATGTGAAATGAAGTTGAAAAGTCGAGGATAACCAAGGACTTTTTTGTACATGATACTTTTGTTGTAGGATTTTATGTTTGTTCTTGTGAACTAAAACGAATTTACCTTGGCTTACTTGGCTAGAAGATATCCTTAATCTTTCTGTGCTCCTTCCCTTCTTATTCACAAATTATCATTCATACATCTTTTTCCTTTCTGCAGTAGACTAACTCAGTTTCCGGGCAAGTATGCTTATGGAAGTGTCATCAGGATTTTATATGCCGTACCTCAAAATGGTGCAATTTTTATTTTATTTTTTGATAAACCACAGGAGGCAATCCTGTTCAGGGCGAGTCCAAGATTAAAGCTTTAAACTTCTTCCAAAGATGGTACTAGGGAGGATCGAGCACATGCACTCTTTTATATTAACTTAGCATTAGGATTTAGGAATTTGGTGTTGGTTGAGAGGGGGAGAACTAGTTCTTGGCAAAGGAATCTCTAGAATTCATAACAGCCACTGAAACTCTATGAACTTATCAACTATTACTAGGTTATGCATGCAAGATAGAGATCTTGGAGGAATTCAAGAATCTGCAGTAGTTGAACTTCCAATCTGTAATTTCGAGTTTTTTTTTAGTATTCGGAACAATTTCATTTCCCTGTAATTGGTCTGTACCTCTGAACCTTGACTCTTTACATTTGAACTTTGGTGAGAAATGAACATGCCTCTTTTCTCAAGAACTTTCTTTATTGCATTTTCTGTTCATATGAGTAGCTAAATCTTTTTCAGGAATCTTGAATGAATTGATGAGTACCCTTTAATCAATATTACCTGTTATGCATGTCTCTTGATTTTTAATTAGAAAATCTTCTTGCTTAAGTGCCATGGGAGTGGTTCTAGAACACTTTTATTCATGAATCTTTAATTGGGAAATTAAGGGTTTATGATTTTGTTAATTGAATGATCCAAGACTAGGGATAATATGGAGTGAAAATTGAGGATTCGTCATAATTGGATTAGATTTAAGCTTAGGGACTGGTTTGAGTCAATTCAATTATGGATTTGGGAAAATTCAGTTAAGTGATACAACACTCAATTTTCGTCAGGAAGGTGCTATAGCAGGTAAAAAGTAGGGATGCGAAAATACAAGGGAAAGTCATGAAATTCAAGATTTCAGTGTCTTGTATCTGAAATTTAATTGTTCTGTAAGTGATTAGAGTATTCTTGTGAGGTTAAATTCTGATTTTGGTTTGTAGCAATTGAATTTTGAATTGAAAAACTAAATACCTTACAATTCAAGAAGCTAGGATAGGATTGTATAAAAGAAATTAATTTCACTTTTACGAATTTACATTAATATCTATGCTTCTATTACCAGTCGCTTCCTGGGGTGCCAGTCTAAGTATGTCCATGCACCTGAGGCATTTTCTGAAATCCTGATAAGAAACCAGAAGAGCTTAGATATACTTTATTCTAAGAATCACACTCAGGTGGGAGCTGATGTGACAGGTACTGATGGTGGGTCTCCTTACTTCTGGTGTGTGTTGTTCAGCAGAGGCAAACCTAACAGCAGCTTTGCTTTTGAGTGTGGTGTGGCTAAAATAACAAAACCTGGTTGTTTTAGTGCAGCTAATGATGAGTGCAGCGGTGCTCATGATTGGTCTCCACTCAGTAGGACATGGCTATTTGCCACTTCAGTTCTAATTGCATTTGGGTTTACTTTTGGATTATCATCATAAATTTATAGAAATTTGATGGATTTCCACTTGAATTAGGGGGCTCTTTCATCTTTGTTGTGTTTGGCAAGTTTGACCTCGGCTATTTATTATTTAATTTGTGAATTGATTCATTCAAGCCAATTGTTTAATTTCATTTCTTGTTTGTATATGAAATTTATGGTATTGGCTCTTGCAAATCTCTTAAATAGGACTCCAATTTTTATTTTATTTTTTAAGAAAGTAAAATCAGAACTTTAGCCAAAGTGGATGGCTTCACATGCCCTAAAATGTAGAGGAGAAAGGTCATAGGTGAGCTCTCCTTGCTTTGGGTTTCAGGCTGTTATTATGTCAAAAGTATAACAGTATGGTATTATAAAAAATATGCCATTTATGAAGAATTTGTAGTATTTTGGTGCTGGCTATATCACAGTTATCCTCTACCTTCATGACAGTTATTTTTTTCCTCTTTTGGTAATGCCTGGGTAACAGTTAAAATAACAGATGATTCAGCTGCTACACATACTAGTGCCACTAACCTGATATTCACAATTTTTCCGCAAGTGTATGGTTTTGCTAACCTGAGATTGACATTAACCACTGTCCACTAGGATGACTTGGCTATATTGCTTGGATCTCAAGAAAGATTTAATTTACGTGATGGCACTTCCTTTTTGTTTGTGCCATGGCTCCCCTTTGGTTCGTTCCTTTATTTCATTGCTTTAGACTCTGATTCTGTCTTCTCTTGGAGCAGATCTTAGGAACAAACCAAATAGGAAGGAACAAAGGAAATTGCTTCATTGTAGAAGTATGTCAATATCTTTGTAGAGGAATTGGCTAAATGTCCTCTGATATGAGCCATGAGGAATAAAAACTAGACCTTCAAAAAATGTTAAAATAAACTTCTTACGATGGATAAAAATAGAGGATGATTAATCACTCAACATAGAGAGTATTGCTATGCTCTTCACAAACACAGTTGGAAAAGAAGTTCTTGCATATCTTACAATACAGTTTAAGCATGCCAGCTTCTTACAGAGACGCTTTACACATCAAAACAAGAAAGAGAACAATAAGAATCAAAACAATACCACCAGAAGAACCACCAGCTCTATGAATCCAGTCACGATCAAACCTGGTGAAGCTCCGATCCAGAAAAGCTGATAAAGCTATGGCTAAAATCAATACAAAGAGCAGCAGAGGCAACCAAAAAGCAAAGTTCATGGGTTGGTGGTCATCATCTTGCAACTCACTTTCTGGTTTCCTGTCCATATAGAGAGGAGAAGCCACAGCTAGAACCACCATGCTTATGGCTGCCACTCTCTCATAAGAAGAAAATTTGCTCCCTTTTCTACTAGCTCCAAGTTCCATTCAGAAAATAGATGATGAATCAATCACCTTGGTTTTTTGGGGACTTATTTTTTTTTCTGCTAAAATATGTATTGTGGAAATGTTGAGGTAAAGTCACACCCAAAATGTTAATATGTGGTGAAGGGAATCATGCCTTTCAAAGTAAACATTATAAAGCATCAGGTACACTCAGCTATTCTTTTTTCATTGTTCATGTACTAGTACTGCTTTGGAAGATGAACTAAGACTATATGATGGTAATTTCAGAGAGAAAAATTGTAATGTGCAGACTTTTCATTCATTTATATACTATGTTTGGCATGAATATAAACCAAAGTACACTTTTAATATTGTTGTAGTTAATAATGTCAGGATAGTTAAAAAAATAAAAAATGCACAAGGCTCCCCATGGTGAAGGTCGATTGAATAGTTTTACTCTTATATTTTTGCAAAGAAACAATTTTCTAAATTATAATCTGTGACCCTCTAACAATGAAGGAGCAACTTTACGGGAAAAACAGTTGAAGAACATTTTATGGGAAAAACACTTCTTATGCTTCTCATGTTGCGTGAAAAATATTTTCTCATGATGCGACCTTTCAATTTGAGTTAAACTTTTTTTTAATAAGTGTGGAGCTCACTGTTAATTAAGTCACAACATGAAAAAATAATTCTCAATGCTCACATTTTATATAAAAAAAAAAAAGTTGTTTAGGATAAAATGCATGAAAAATAGAGATAGATTTTAGTGGAAAGTGGGGGACTCTGACCTAGAGGAAGGAAAGGAGGAGGTTTGGTACAAGGTATTTTTTAGGATTCCTGAGAAATTGAATTTTTCTAAATTTTTAATTTTCAGATATTATCGTAAATTAGATGTTTTCATCATATTTCTAAAAATCGAGATTTCCGGATAAAAAAAATTTCTCCTCTACCAAACATCCCAAAAGAGTAAATGTTATGTGCAAGACGGAAACAGGTATTGGCAGCACACTGACAAAGCTCCGGTAGTTACACTGTGTGGATGTGAACAATATTCTTCATTATTGACAAAAAAGCTCAATATTCGGTGCTGCTTAAATTTTTATGTGGAATCTGATGCTGTTTCTTCTGTTTTGGACGTCTACATTACTACGTCATAAAATGTCAAGGAATTGCTGTTGGAATGAGGCAGTTCCACTTCAACATGCTGACTGGAGGGTAGGGCAAAGAAATATTTAGCTTGAATTAAAGAAAAAGGAAAATGCTAGTGGACAAAAAGAAAAATATGCGTGTATAACGACTAGATAAGAATCTAAGATATGAATTTAACCCAAAAAAATAAAAATAAAAAAAGATATGAATTTATAATTTTATATAGAAAAGTATTGGTGTAACTGTATGTATGACTATATATACAAAGTGAGGAAAATCAACTATTATTTCAAGAGAAAAAGTCTCTGAACATAGTACCTAAGTATTTCATCACTTCACTTCTCAACAATGGCGGAACGAGGGTTTTTTTGGGAGATAAATTATATATTTTTTAAAATTTGGTATTAGAATTAAAAAGTTATATAATTGAATAAACATGGTCTTAATACATAAATTACAATATAATATAACATCATATAAAATAATATAATAAAAATAAAAATGCTCACAATATAAAGAATTTGAAAAAATTATATAAATAGAAATCACTTCACTTGAGTCTTACTCTATTTTATTGTATTTAAATATACTTTTTATCCAATTTTAAAATTTCAAATTAATTTTGTATATCTTATTTATTTATTATATAGTAATATTTAATTAGGCATCAAATGTATTTGAAATTGATTACAAAATAAAACGAATCTTATGAGGTTTAAATTTACTTTGAATCCAAATTCTATATATATACTAATTTCATTCTTTTTATCTTATCTTACCTTATCCTATTTGTTATATATTGATATATTTTTTTACATATTTATATATTGATATTTGCATAGACATCAAATATATTTTGAGACTGATTAAAAAAAAACAATTTTATTATATTTAATATATTTCATATTTTTAAATCTTTTAAATTAATTGAAATAACACTATTTTTAATAAAATTAGGGTAAAACGTATAGCATATAACTCTTTTTTTTTAGTACACAAAAAGTTTAGGTGGAGTAGACATCGATACCCCCACCAGAGTCAGGACAGACTTTCCAATCTCAAGAAAAATTTTCGGAAGGACAGCGGAAAGAAAACCTGCTTTGTACAAATCATCCATCGGGCAAAGACTTCACATCAGCCAGAGAGAATCAAATTCACGCCCTTTAAAAGTATGAGTCAACTCCTTTGGCAACTGTGCCATCGCTTGTTGGCTAGCATATAACTCTTCTAACAACATGATAGGTGGTATCAAGTGTGGCTACTCAATCAATATTAAGGAGGGCGATCATCTTTAACCTCTTCCTCGCATCACCATTGCTTTTGAGAATATAAAAAAGTTAATTTTTTTAGTAGTAAAAAAAATTGATTAGAAGAATGTGATCCCTTGTGAGGTAAGGAAACACCATCAACCTAGAGTATAAGGTGAAATTATATATTATTTACCAACAAAGAAAACTTTAGAATCGAAATCAAGTTAACATGAGTGAAAAGTTTGACTCGATATGTTAACCCTCGTTGATGAAAAGTTTATTTTAGATTTGCGGTTTGTTAAATATGAAATCATACAAGCCAACCGGTTGAGTTAGTGGTGGAGTTCTTTGAAATAAAAGGTTTATTTTATATATTAAAGTGAGTAACTTCAATGCATGTGTATTTTCATATTATTAGTTGTTATTTTTCCATCAATAATTATGATCTCTCATTTTTTTTTTCTAAAGTGAATTCCATCTGAAGCAATCAAATTGGGTGAACCAACATATAGTTCGGGAGTAAATTTTGGATTGCCATTCCGCCTTGCTGCAATTAGGACAAAAAAATAAAAATAAAAAAAATCAAACAAACCAGTTTTTGGAGTCTATGTCAAATTAATTTTTTTTTTGGGTACAGTATGTCACATTAAATGTTTAAACAATGCATAAGTTTGGGAAAAGTGTTTGTCCTTTTAAATGACACAACTTATATCCTTTCACTCTCACAAAAGAGGTGGGACTCACATTTTTTATTTTTTCATCCACTCTCTCTCCTTCTTTATTTATCTCTTTCTCTCACTTAAAATGACACAATTTTACCTCCTTTAAAATATACACATTTTACCCCAGAAGTTTTCATTCCTTTCGTTTTATCTGGCGCTCTGGCCCAATGAATTGAGTCCAATGTCTAGAATTTTGTAAAGGACACCCGTAATGAATCAAAGAACGTGATTTCTTTCTCCATACACTACTGCCTATCATATATTCACTACATTGATGAGAGTTGCAAAACGCCTTGCAATAGGCAAGATGAGGCTAACGGTGGTTCGACTTTATTCTCTCTTTCCCACACCTAGAGAGTATCCATTCTCCTATAAATATCCCTCTTCTTTTATTGAAGAAGAATTTGATTTTACACACTTTCATGAGTGTTATTCTATTAAGATTTAGTAGTGGCAGAGCTAGAAGAAAACTTAGCCAATGCCAAAAGATCCAACTGGTAGAATTTAGCCAGTGTCAAGGTGTATTATTTTTAAAAATTCAACCAATACTAAGGTTGTACCATATTTTTTTTTAAATATTGTACTATATTTTAAAATTAGATGGTGTCTTGGCACCAACACACTACCAAGTGGCTTCGCCACTCAAATTTAGAGCTACTATAATTGAAACACACTTCTCCCCATTGCAGAGATATCTTGCTAGCACCTAGATAACTTATATTGAATCTTGATCCATATCATTGCTATTTTGAGTATCCCTAAATCAACATAATTCACTCCACCCCTTATTTCTAAATCAACATACTCCACTCCACCCCTTATCCCTGAATCAACATACTCCACTCCACTTCTTAAGGATAATGTTCGGTTCAAAATACACCACAGTTCACCTTTATTGCTTTTAATAAAAAATTTCCTCCTTTTGGATGGTGCAAAACTTTATTGAAAATTCTATCGCTGCATAGCATGATATTGGAAAGTTTAAGCAAGTAACATGAAGAATGGATACAATGGGAGAAGAAGGGTGTTTATAGGGGAATGGATACTCCCCTACACTCCAACACATGTTGTAAAGACTCAAAAAAGGTTCAAAGATTGCGTTATATTTTTAGTTTCAACTATTAGATTCGTTGAATTATAATTATTATTTTATTGAATTTAATATAAATATTTGGGATATCTTGTGTTTCTTTTCAAAATTAATGGATAATATAAGTTTAGCTTCATTTTTTTGTTAAATTATTAAGGGTGAGGGGATTAGTGAGATTGGGCTGTGGTGGAAAAGGGTTGTATGATGAAGAGAGGCAGCAGACAAATGAGCCTGGGTATCACTGGACTTGGCCCGGTTCTTGTAGCCAAGAGGATAACCGTGCAATTTGAAGCACTTCTAAGCACTTCTCCAGTGTGTGTCCCTGTTGTGAACAATGGGTGTAGAAGGGACGGTCACAACGAGGCCTAGGTGGTCCAATAACGACGTTCACGGCAAGAAGCAGCTGAAGGTCAGAAACAGGGAACGGGCCAGGCAAAATGGAACGTTGGGCTCCTCCTGAACGACTAACGAAAAAATACGACTCAGAGGAGGTAAAGGCTCCATAAGGAGAATCTGAGCTCAACTTGCATAGTAAGATTCATTTAGACCCATAAGAAATTGGATAGAGGAATCTTGCTCTTGATATTGGGACCAGGTACGGAGGCCACCGCAATGGCAGATTGGAATCGGTTGGGATTCATGGAGTCCATTCCAGAGATTCTTCAAACGAATGTAATAAGCATTCACATCAAGAGAACCCTGTCGCAGGGCAGCAAGTTGAGACTTCAATTAAAAGATGTGAGGAGCGTTGCTCTGCTCAAAGCGATAACGAAGGTCAACCCATATGCCATGAGCGGTGTGAATGTAAAGAATACTATCAGAGATATC